CGAGTGGTGAAGGTCCATTTTGAACAGGAATGTAGATTTGTCTTGCTGACCCTCCACTTTGCGATGCACACGTACGCGAAAGTACTGGACGGCGCGGGCAATCTCTGGCAAATCCACTTGCGAGAGCTTCTCGTCCCAGAACCCGCGCATGTCCTTCTTGAGCTTCTCCACCCTCTCGCGTAGTGCTGGCTCCCCTTCCTCCGCCACCGCCTTGGTTGCGCCGTACTCCCACACTGCCATGAAGATTTGAATTTGAGGTGCGGCGCGTGAGTTGTGGTTCACCGTCTCTCCAGCGTCGGTGGGCTTCTTCATCTCTTTGCCCGTCTCGTTGTAGGCTGCTCCTGCCGCGATCGCAGCCGCGATCATGCCCTGGCCTGCGCCCACCTCGTACCGCAACAGCACCACGGCTCCGAGGTCTGCCAGCTCTCGACTGCCTGCCAGGATCAGCTTGCAGATTACGAGGATGATTTTGTCGAATGGAGTGCGACCTTCCTGGCTGCTCCGTGCGGCCTTCTTCTTCTTGTCGGGCGGGGCGCCATCTGCTCCTAAGGAGTTGGCACCTTTGTACCAAGCAGGTTTCTGCAGAGCCTCTGCTTCCATGATGAGAGCCGTACACGTCAGTAGTTACAGTGCGAGAAGCCGACACGAAAGGCACAATCAGGACGGGCAGATGGCTTCGGAGATGTCGACAGAGAGATAACGTGTCCGTTCCCACGAAGTCACAGCATGGGCAGTCATAAGACGATGGGGTAATCTGTGGGCACAGTGTGCGGGGTCCACATGTGAAACAGTTGCGTTTCTGTAGGGAACGTAATAAATGTCGTGCTGCAGTAACTTGCGTTGCAAATGTCTGTAAGCAGTGTATGCGCACGTTGCTTGGCGTAAGTACATGAGCAAGCTTGCGTAGATTATGGCAATGGCGTAGATGCGCAAGTAGCTTTTTACGGGTACTGACGGCGCTCTGACAGGGCTCCCCAGTAAGATCCATTGGGCACACAAATGGTAAATCCACTTATGCGTGTTCTTCGGGATCCTCACGAGGTATCTCTGGGGGAGCATAGCCTGGATGGGGGGATGCTCACCGAGAATACTTGGCTACGAAGTTCGTTCATATCCACTCTCCGAAAGTCCTCTGAGGCCTCCAGGTCACTAAGTAGACGCAGGTCGTTGACAACATTTCGGGCTCCCCCGTAAGGAAGAAGCCTGGAGACGCGATCAAGATCTGAAGCAACTTGTGTTGTCCACGGCGACGAATCTATATATATATATATATAAAAATACATATATATATATATATATATATATGTATAAAAAGGCGGGCCCGCCGCCCTGTCCAATCAGAGGTCGCATGAATTCAATGGGAGAAGATCGAAACAGTGCGCATAAAATCCCAGGGCGGTCCTCAGGATGCGCACTCCACGATTGATACAACTTACCCCGGCGAACCAGAGGCTCCAGCGAGGAGGGGGGCCAACTTCCAGTGAGTGAGCACCTGTTTGTTGGATACTGTTTTTGCATGCGGTCCGCCCCAAGAGGTAGCTTTGCCTAACATAGCTATACGCCCAAGGCTTGCCAGACAGCCATCAAGAATAGTAGTGTCCGTCTCCGTGGTCACGAAACTCTCGACTCCACTCAAGAGAGCATTCTGAACGAACCCGATGAAGAGACTACGTTTCCACCTTTTCGGGATCCCAAGACTCCACGCCCTGCCCAGCGAAAACAAACCAGAACGAGCCGCCGAACATCTCCTGGATATCTCGCTCGTTCCTTGATGGAGCCCTGTAGGGGAGTGGGGTCTGGGCGGAGCAACTGCCGACACTGATAGCGGCGCGCAGCGAAAAACAGAAGGTACGTTTGCTTGATGTTGTTCTGGCCGCAGCCAACATCCGCAAGAAAAGAATATAGTACAGCACCAACCTCCGCGATCTTTGTCGTGAAATCCTTCAGCGACATTTGCGGGTCAGCCAGCGCAGAACTATTAGCATCATCCGCAAATTTGTGCGTGCTCAGGTCGGCTTGGAGTCCCTGCCACGATGCTCGCAATCGCCTAGATTGCACATCAGCTCTGGACTCACCATGCCCCCAGGACAAAATTGGACGTGCGAAGGTACCTACAAAAGCTCGGACAGCGAATGGATCCCCCATCGCGTTTCCCTGTGTAGGTCGAACTTTGAGAGGGCCTTCAGCGCTTCCAATAACATAATTGAATTATTATATCGCTGCTGGCAAAGAGCATGGTCGCATCTAATTGATCCCACTGAGAGCTACCGAAAGCGTTGGACATATCCTTGAGCGCCATGGCGTGCGTGATACCTTGTGCCCTTAAACGCTATGATGTAATCAGCGCTCCCATGACAGCATCCTCGCGACGACGATGATGTCGATAGTAGCCGTGGTCCTGGATTGTCGGGGGCGGAGTGGGAAGCGTCGAGTAGGATGCCTTCCCACTAGCTGCCACCACATGGGCCACTCTCCGCCCACGTGGACCAGCCACATTAGATTTGTGTAGGCCTGCGCTTTCTGCCCGATGCCAGTAGAGTGGGCTGATGTTGTGCATCCTGGCCTTCGCCAAACCCACTTCTGCCAGGAATCTGAAACCCGGAATTGTTGGCACACTCACGTCGGCCCCTATACTTTGGCCTCGTCGTTGCGTGGGAGCTTTCTTAGGTAAGAATAGCGCCAGCCAGAGCTCCAACGGTGCCGTTGAATCTGGAACTGCTCGTCGTTTAGCTGCGTGTCTCATCCACCGAATAACTCGGCCCACATCCTCTTGACAAAGATCAATAACATCTTCCGTATATTTCCACAGATACTGCTGGCCGTTTTGCTCGTCGCGCCATTCAAACCAGCTCTGAGGGTGCACAGCCATCCCACCTTGTCAGCCTTCCAGCGGCCAGACATTCAACCATGCCTCTGGGGTAAGTTGCGCAGCCCAAACAAGGAGCCCATCCCTTTTCTTTGGTCCTATGCGTGTGCGCGCTGCTCGTCGTGCCAACCTCATAGTTGCTGCCTGTTTCTGGTGCTTCCACAAATCCGTCGCTTCCGCCACCAACTGGGACTGAAGGGCACAAGAGTATTTGCGTCGTAGTAGACGTTGTTCTTGAGAAATGCGCTTACGTTCAGCATCGATGTGAGTAGCCTCATCAGGGGAAGTTTCCGTTTTACCTTCGCGTAGATTTGCCCGCACATGTAGTAATCGCCGTATCTCTCTGCAGTCAGCCTGTCGTCGAGTGTCGCCCCCGAGCGCTGCCATACTAAAGTGGGCCTGTCCTGCTGGTGTAATACAATATTCCAGAAGTTCGAATGTCTCATCAGGAGAACCATGTTCTTTCAAACTCTTTCAAATAATGATACGCACCGCGCTGATCAAGTTGTTCTTGAACAGATGTAAGAAAGCCCGCCTTGTGTCGTCCATGTTGTAAGGCTGCCACATCTGGCCGCGGTCCCAGCGCAGGAGAGTCTGAGCGCCCGTCGGTCCAATCGAATGCTGCGAATACCACAACGTACATTCAATCGATAAGTGATCACGTGGACCCGGACCTTGGAACACCTGAAGTCGAGCACCAAGACGTCTAAGAACATGTGAGTGTGCAAGTGAATATTCCATTCCACACGGTATGAACAGATAAGCGATACGAGACTTGCCACCATCTTGACCATAGAAAGGTGGAATAACAGAGCTCCCTCTCGCATTTGTCGCCACCATCTCATGAGATTCTAAAAATTCGCGAAGCTGCTCACCGGCTCCCTTTCTCAAACGCTCTGGCGACGGGGCCTGCACAACGACTGTCTCGATCCCTCCTCCTCCTCCCACAGGCAAGCCAATCCCGTCATTAGCGTCGCAGAAAAACACGGGCGTCGTCCGATGCGGCAGCGCAGAGAGCAAATCGCTAAGCCACTCGACCAAAACACGAACATTGCGAAGATAGTGTGGGCGATGCTGAAGACGCGATGGCTTCGGCGGGAAGTACAGGCTAATTCCAAATATCTCACTCCTCCCCCGTTTGACCCGCACTCCAAGACACCGTCCGTTGGCCTCCGCAGAGGAGACGATGGGCCGAAGGGGGCCTCCAATACTAGACGTCCCTGGACGTGTCGCCGCAAAACAACACTCCCCGAGAACTGCTGCCTCCGACCCACCGACTGAGTTCCAGATAACAAAATCAGGTCGAAATCCGAAGTCTCCACCACCTCCTCGAGCCTATCGCCCGTACAAGACTGAGGGCTCCACCCAATAGTCGAAGTTGCTGCGCCATCGCCGCCCTCAGCAGAGCGGCCGCAACTGGGGCATGTGAGGCCCCTTTCACGATGTACGATGAAGAGAAATAATATCCCCCTGGGAATGGAGGTCTCTATAGAAAGGGGCTAGGAGGAGGAGGGAGAGGAGCGGCGAGAAGAGGGGAAGAGGAAACGGTGACTGGGGGACACACGCATCGTGACCGCAATTTGTTTTGCCTGTGCGGCCAGCACTGGAGCGGCGAGAACCGAAGCGCGCGAGAAGCGCGCGCGCGTGCAGTTCTAGCAGTCTTACAGGCACACAGTTGTATCAACATGTTTGGATGCATACCCATGTATGTAGAACGCAGACTTGTGATGCCACGGTCAATTTTTTCATTGTGTCAGTAACACAAGCCGCTATGCGCACAGTCGTTCGACCAAGGAAGTGCCACCCGTTCCAAAATGTGAGTTGTGTCTTTGAGTAAGCAGAGTCCGAAAACGATTTACTAGAACTTCGACCAGTACGACTACGGATCAGAAGGGTATACGTACGGCAGTTACCATCACAAACGCCACCAGTACACCTACGGTTGCAAGCATGAGTCACCAGTATTGCTACTGATGCTGCTACTGCCACCGCTACTCTCAAGTACGCCCCTTGCGTCCTGCATCCTCCTCCTCCAGCTTCTCTTCTTCAGCCACTGTCTTTTGCCCTGCTAAGCTGAACTCCTCGCTGCCACGGTCCAGCCTCCAAGCCATCGCAGCCCCGTTCCGACCCCGAGGAGCGCTGGGCGGAGCTCAAGCGTTTCTCGGACGGGCGGCGGCTGGCAGCGTCACCCGGCGAGAGGCACAGCGGAGGACTGAGGAGAAGTTGGCAACATGTGTATCGTCCTTCCTCCTCCTCCTCCTCCTCCTCCTCCTCCTCCTCCTCCTCCTCCTCCTCCTCCTCCTCCCGTAGCCGATTTGGCTCGAGATGTCTGCTCTTGGGGCCTTGGGCCCCGTGGCAGAAAGGGATACCGCTAGGCGATCGTTGTTTTATTCATTGCTTTGCCGATCGGCGCGGGCCCTCGCACACCCCCCCCTCCCACCGCATCCCCCCTCCCACCCCCCCCCCATGGAGCAGATCTTGGATGTTTTTGGCGCCTGTTTCAGGCAGGCAGGGGCCAAGCCCCCATATGCCCATGTGACGTTCTGTTGCGAACCGTCGCAAGAAGAAGAGGTCCGGAGCCAGACCCCACCCCTCCCCCCCCCGTTCCGTCCAATGCCGAAGCGCCGAATAAAAACACGCCCAGTAGTCCTCGGCTAGATCATCGACTTTTCTTGCAACCCAAGTCGAGCTGCGCGCTGCTCGGGCCAAGAGGTTTTTCTGCCGAGTCGAGCTGCGCGCTGCTCGGCACCACTTCTGCGAGATGGCCCCTCCGCCCGTGCATCAGCGCAAGTGGATCTGCAGGTTCCGTAAGCACGAGCGGACGGGGAAATCGTTCCTCAATTTCTCGGAAAACAAGCAGTACTTCCAGTGCAAGCTGTCGAAGCGCACCTGCTTCGGAGGATACCTCGCAGTCAAAGAGCCCTCCGTCTCTACAGACCTTTAAGGGCACTAGGAGTGAGTGGTACTACGCCTCCATGGGCCAAGACATCCACTGAGGTCCAGAAGCTCACGGCGCAGGTCAAGAAGCTCCAGGCGGAGCTCAAGCAGGCCGAGAAGCCGCCCGACACGGGAGGCATGGACGTCGTCGACCTTGCATGCGAGGCGGCGCCCGACAAGGACCGCCTGGGCACGAGCGACCGGGGGCTCGCAGCCGCCTCTCCGCCCGAGGGCGGCGCGGGGAGCAAGGCTCAAGGCCGAGCCCCGGCAGGAGAAGCGGGAGATCGAGCCGCGGAGGCGGGACAGCCAGCCGATGGTCCAGCGGCCCCGCACTCTGCTCGCACACGCGGACGAGGTCGAGCAGAAGCTGCTCAAGTCCAGGAGGCATCAGGAGCAACGTCGGAGGAGGCTCAGCGATGCGGAGGCCGCGTGTCGCGAGGCGGAAGGTGCAGGTCGAGGAGCACGAGTCCACCCTCGGCCGGCTCAAGGCGCAGCAGGTGGCCTTGGCTGCGCAGGGCGTCGCCCCAAGGCGTTGAGCTTGAGGCGCGCGCGGTGGGTGCACCCCTGCTGCAGTTGGACCCCGACGAGGTCAAGCACTTCCTCGAGCAGGATCTCGACCAACTTGGCGTGCAGGTTCCCGACCTTTCGCAGTTCGAGCGCGCGTTTTTTGCGAGCAAGTCCCGAGCTGATCCACCCAGGCCATCGCGCGGGTCGAGCCGCCAGGCGTGCGAACAGTGCCAGCGGCGGGGGCGCCGCCGACTCCAGCGGGGGACGGTGATGCGGCTACGGCGCCTATCCTCATCGAGCAGATCCGTTCGGAAATCTCCAGCGGTAGCGTCACCCCGCCAGAGAGCGAGGAGACAGCTGGAGAGCTACACGGCCACTTTCGGGCTGCGTTTGGCGGGCGCGCTCGCCCGAGTATCGTTAGCTCTGGCTGTTCGCCGTTGTAGTTCGAAATTGCTGTACATGAAATACTTCTTCACGTGCCAGAAGGACTGGGTCCTGATCGAGGGCTCCCTGGGCAGTATTGTGCCCATCTGCGGCTCGTTGGAGTCATCGCTTCCGCCGCGGGCATGGCCGGCGTCCAGGTCGAGCTCGTGCGGCGGCCAGGCGATTCCCCACGGCGACGAGTTCCTCACGCGGGAGGAGGAGCGGCTGCTTGACGACGCTTGGTGGCAAGGGTGCGCGGCCTCTCGTTGTTTGGTTGGTGATTCTGCTCCGAGCGCGGATGGTCTTTATGCCACCTCTGCCGACAGTGCCAGAGCAGGACCCGCTGGCTCTTCGTGCCCCTGTAAGTCTGGGGGGGCATGAAAAAAGGTGCAGCTTCCTCTGGTTCGACGGCGGCACGGCGGAATGCGACTACGATGGGCGATGAGGAGATCGACCCTTTGGACTGTCTGGCTGCTGACGATGCGCCTCTTGAGGGCCTGGTGCCCTTTCATGGCCCGGCGGCGGCGCCAAGAGGGCACCAGTCCACTGATAAGGGCCCGCCTCCATCGGCCCTCCCGCCCCGGCCCGCCTCCTTCGGCGCTCGTCCCGTAGTCGGCCCTCCTGCTTCAGCGGTAGAGCTGAGTCCGCGCGACGTCCGCCTACCGCGTCCTCGCGACGGCGGTGGCCCTCACGCGCGAGCGGTCGAGCTAACACTAGCCCTCCTTCAGCTCCTCCTCCTCCTCCTCCTCCTCCTCCTCCCTCCTCCTCCTCCCTCCTCCTCCTCCTCCTCCTCCTCCTCCTCTCCTCCTCCTCCTCCCTCCTCCTCCTCCTCCTCCTCCTCCTCCTGCTCCTCGATCCCCCGCCACTCCCTTGCCCCCCCCCCCCTAACGGCCCTCGGTCAGAGGCCAGGCGCGGGCGAGAGTGCTCGAGGCCAGGCCAGGTGCTCGAGGCCAGGCGCGGGCTCGAGGCGAGGCGCGGGCCAGGGGGCGGGGCGCCGGGCTCCACGCCCATACCAGGCGTGGGGGCGGGGCGCCGAGGCCAGGCGTGGGGGCGGGGCGGTGAGACGAGGCCAGGCAGAGTGCTCGAGGCCAGAGTGCTCGAGGCCAGGCGTGGGGGCGGGGCGCCTGGCTCCACGCCCATCCCAGGCGCCGCGAGGAGGGCTTCAGCTGCGTCACCGGCTCCGGCGCGGCCGAGTGCGAGGCCACCGGTCGTCGAGCCGGTGGGCCCGGGCCCCGCGGAGGGGCAGGGAGCCGTCGAGACGGCGCGTGCCCTGCACGGGAGTGTCACGGAGCGGGGTCAGAAGGTGCACAAGTTCATCCCCTCGCAGCGGGACCTCAACCTTTGCCTCTTCGTGGGGGCCCACTTGGATCAGGGGCAAGATGGGAAGGCCAGGCAGGAAGTTCGGAAAGGCGGTTGGAAGATGGCGTCCACCCCCGCTCGTGGCAGCGGTCGCTCTGAGACGGGCACATCGGCGGGAGAAGCGATCCGCCAAGACGCACGTGGCCACGACGTCTTTCGAGCACCTGCGCCAGTGCGGCAAGATCGTGTTCCACGGATTCTCTGCCATGGCGTGGCATCTCAGTTCGGGCAACATTGTCACGATTTGCACGTATCTGGTACCGAAGGTCCGCATCAGTAGCGGGCAGACCGCGACCACCCTCAGGTCACTGCTCGCGTTTGTGAACTCCTTGGCGGATCCCTGGGTGATCTTTGGGGGCTGGAACCATTCGCCCAAGGAGTTGACGGCGGCTCGTATCCACGAGTTTCTCCACGGCGAGGTGGTCCTCCCATCGTGCAAGGTTACGTGCGACAAACGGCGGCACGGCTCCATGATCGACTACGCCATCAAGGGTGAGGGTCTCGCCAGCCGCGTCGCGCTGGAGCCCGTCGAAGCCGTGCCCTGGAAAAGCCACTGTGGGATTGCCATCGCGGTGAATGGAGCCGACAAGCCGTTCTGGTACCGCATGCTGCGCCTACCGCGTGTTTTCCCGGTCGTCGAGAGGCCGAAGAAGCGGGCGGACCCGACCAGCAAGGCCGGCAGGCGCCGAGAAGAGATCGGGCAGGCCCGCCGTGAGCGGCTGGCTCGGGAGCTGCGCGAAGCCTTCGACCAGGCGCACCCGCCTCCAGGCGAGTCCCCACCGGCGCCGACATACGGGGCGGATCTCTTCGCGTCAGCTGAGCTGTGGCAGCAGGCCAAGGCGTGGCAGGAGTTGTTGACTCACCCGTGCACCCCAGGAGGAGGAGGAGGAGGAGGAGGAGGAACAGGAGAGGGAGGAGAAGAAGGAGGAGGAGGAGGAGGAGGAGGACCCCCTCCCCCTCCAACTTATGGTGGTGAGTGGGGACGGAGCACGGCAGCACGTTTCTTCCTAAGCACTGGGCATGTCGCCGTGGTTGCGCCGCCGCCTGCTGGCGCAGCGCAGTGGGCCCATCCATTGTCGGGCCAGTTTTCCGGGTGGCTCGCGCCAGGAGCGCTCGCCCTGGTGTCGCCGCCGCCCGCTGGTGAGTCTCGGATTCTCCCTCCTCCTCCCTCCTCCTTCCTCCTCCTCCTCCTCCTCCTCCCTCCTGGTCCTCCTCCTCCTCCTCCTCCCCCTCCCCCTCCTCCTCCCTCCTCCTCCTCCTCTCCTCTCTCCTCCTCCTCCTCCTCCTCCTCCTCCTCCTCCTCCTCCTCCTCCTCCTCCTCCTCCCTCCTCCTCCTCCTCCGCGAGGGGGCGCTCGAGACCATGGACCCCCAAGGGCCTTTACCTTTACCTTACCTCCTCCTCCGCCTCCTCCTCCTCGCTCCCTCCCTCCCACCCTCCCTCCCTCCGTTTTCGCGCTGACTGAGCCGCACTTCCTGTGCCGAGGCAGGGAGGAAGAAGCTCGTCTCGCTCAGCAGCCGTATGGCTCCTGGCTCGCATGGCTCCTGGCTCCTGGATCGCAGCCAGCGGAAGACAGAGGCTCGCCTGGTCGATGCCACCACGAGTTTTGTCCCTACCTAGGCTCTGCCTAGAAGGGTTCTTACTCTCTTTGCTTAAAGGGGCCGGGAAGTGCTACACGCCCCGGGCGGGTCCCCCAGTCCCCGCCCCACGGTTCCCCCAGTCCCCTGGGAGCTTTAGCCTTAGCTTTAGCTTTAGCTTAGCTTTAGCTTTAGCTTTAGCTTTAGCTTAGCTTTAGCTTGGTTTTAGCTTAGCTTTAGCTTAGCTTTAGCTTAGCTTCAGCTTAATGTTAGCTTAGCTTTAGCTTAGATTTAGCTTAGCTTCCGCTTAGTGTTAGCTTAGCTTCAGCTTAGTGTTAGCTTAGCGTTAGATTAGCTTTAGC